TAAGAAATTAAATCCCCCTTAATTCGATAATCATAGAAAAAAACTTTGAGGATGGTTTGAGTAAAATAAATCCTGAATTATTTGGATCAAGGTAAAGGGGGGTTAAAGGTATATTGACCATTGGACGAACCAAACATCGAATTATGGTAATCCCCTTTCATCATCATCATTAGCCGTATCTTAACATTGAGGAGTTGGCTTTATGAAAATATTTGTTCCCCGGTCCTTGCTTAGCATCACATGAGATTTTTAAACTGTTCAATGCCGAATTGGTAAATTGTTTTGCATAACTTCTACCATGTAATCTTTATGTCCTACTCCTCTTCCTTCCTAATTCTAACACTTACTTCCATAAATTGTCTTCTAGAGCATTTTTTTAATCATTTTTTCAGCATACAACAGCAACAACAACAACAAGCCTTTATCCCACTAAGTGGCGTCGGCCACATAAACCCTTTTTCTCCATGGTGTCCTATTGAGCGTCATTTTTTCATTTAGTTCTAATAAATTAAGATCATTTTTAACCTTGGCCTTTTTTTTAAAATAATTTGAATCTAAAGCATCCATTCTCCTAACCGGATCATCAGGTGGTCAAAGTTTAATGTGATCAAACCATCTAAAGCGACTTTGTATAATATTGTATGCCACAGGAGATACACCAACACTTTCACGGATACATTCATTTTGCATTTTGTTCACATATCTTCAATAGAGATTATTCCCGCCATTCCTCTAGAACCATAATTATTTAATCATCATTGCTAATTTTGCAGCCTAATAATCTCATTATGCTTAAGTTTATGACTTTATATCCTCAGTTATATCCTCATGTTGCATGAAAAAAAATTCATGACACTTAAAACTATCACGCCTAAGTATAACTTCATCTTCTAAAAATATTGATAGATATATTAAACTATTGTTATAACAATCATAAGAACTTTGATTTTACAAACATTTTTTCATTATTTTAACTTTTTTGCTTAGACTAATAGATGTCACATTTATTTAAACTATATCCTAAATAAGATACCTAACTTCAAATGATGTCACATTTTAACTTTTTTGCTTAGACTAATAGATGTCACATTTATTTAAACTATATCCTAAATAAGATACCTAACTTCAAATGATGTCACATTTTAACTTTTTTGCTTAGACTAATAGATGTCACATTTATTTAAACTATATCCTAAATAAGATACCTAACTTCAAATGATGTCACATTTTAACTTTTTTGCTTAGACTAATAGATGTCACATTTATTTAAACTATATCCTAAATAAGATACCTAACTTCAAATATCATTTGCAACTTACTCGTAACCAATAAAAAAATACAAGCTTAATACTAATGCAAAGCCGCAAGAATTAAAAACTCTACAATTAACACTAATCAATGACTCATATGTATGCCTTCAACAAACCTTAAAATATTTTACCACTTAATATAAACTAAATCAATTCTCATACCATCCTAAGATCGATGAATATCAAGATAGACCCTTCGCTTCACTTGATACTTCACCTAAATTGATTTAACAGAAAAATCACTTCCTTAGAATAAAATTGATTCAACGCTACTATCTTTTTTCAAAGTCTAAATTGCATCACACTCTCCTAACGCCATTGTATGGCCCATCAATTTGATTCATTGTCAAAAACCAAAATTCAAAATATTTCATCTATTCTTAAATATACATACAAAAAAATACTTCTCCAATCATTTGATAATGTTTTCTACTTCCAAGTTATTTTTCCTTAATAGTAGAAACAAAATATTAAAATATTAGATTTATTTGTTGTGAAAAAAAAAAATTCTGATCATACGTAAACCAAGTAATAGTTTTCCTAAAATGGCAGTTTACATGACTTCTCAAAAAAATTAATAAATTCATTAATTAGTTGTATATTTATTTTAAATAACAATGTATTATTTATGATTAACTTATTATATTATAATATTATAAATAATAACACAATATTTATTTCAATCATTTAATTGCTCATATCACCAACAAAACAATTTTTACTAAATAACATCAATTTTTATAGCACTTAAACAATAGACTTAACAAACAAGAATCTGATATCTCAGCGAAAATAAATCATCTTTGGGGCTGATTTAGGTCAAAGTTCAAAATTTGCTCTAAGATTACTCGAGGAATCAAAGTCAGTTAAACTCTTTAACATTTTTCAAAGTAATTTTGAACCAAACAAATTACATTTGGTGAACAAAAGCAAAATAAAAAGTTTAATTTGAATGCTAGATGGTAAATTATGCTTTAAGCTATCTTCAACAAGTTATATGAGGCCTGAGTTCAATTGCCCCTTCCCTCCCTTTTATTTCTTTTTTGTAGTGGCCCGTTAATGGATGAACAATTTAGATTCGACCGCCCTTTTTATACATCCACTTCGTTTAGTCATGAATGCTTAGCAAAGCAGCTTCATTTCACTTTAGATTATAACCCTAGGATAATAAAAACACTCAAAATTTTGATGTTACTCCATATTTCTTATAACCTACAAACTAAAAATCATCTTTGTCTCTTCTTGTCTTCCAAATAAAATAAACAAATATTTTTTGCTTTAGAGACCCCACTTTTGAAATTTATTATCTTTTCTTCACTTTTAAAATAAAATATTTGCAACTGCAGTACACCTTTTCACATGGCATTTCCATCATACCAAGAAAATCCAACCAGATCCTATTCTAATAAATCTATATGTGCATCTAAGTCACAATTAATAACTATCCTCTCTTCCTCAATTATGTGGTCATTAGTTTATCCACCAATTCCTAGTTTTCAAGCTATTTTCTCCCCAACTTCAGTAGCAAAATATCAGTTATATTTAGAATTTCCTTGGTTATAACTAACTTACTAGCAATCATCCTACTACCAATCATATTTACTTCAACAAATTATTTTCACAATAAGTTCCTCATACAATACACACTCCACTCACTATTAACTTTCTACAATACAATTAATTATAATCTTCCACAATGATGTCTCAATTTCTAGCAAATAGAGAAGATTACATCTTATTTAATCATTAACATCAATTTTCTTGTTTTCACATTTAATGACCCAAATATAATCTTATTTATAGCATTAGTAAATTCTTTCTCACATTTCACCACAATTAAGGTATAGTGTCCCCTTGTAGTGAGATCATGGTTATTTTATGTTTAATTATCATCATTCAAGCTAATTTGCCATGTCACTAACAAGCAATGCTCTAATGCATCACTTGACCCTTCTATCTACACTTAGGGTGTGTTTGGGGCGGCAGTGCGGCGGCGGCACTTCACCGCAGTTTTCCTTTTTGACAAAACTGCATTTTTCCAAAATTCTCAAAAAGCTGCAGCTAAAAGTTAAGTTTTCCCACCAGACCTGACTACCTGTGATGACTGCAAGAAATCTGACTTTTTCAAAAGGATTTTTTTTTTTGTAATAACCACCGGAGCTTTTTAAATAGGAGTTTCATCTCCAGCAGCTTTACAGCCGCTTCTTCAAAAGGTTGTAGCTGCTCCAAACAGACTCTTAATAAAAAATTTTTATGTAGCATTTCTAGGTATTAGAAAATTAAAAACTTAAGGATAATAATGAGAGAAAGAAAGGAGAGAAAAAACTAGGAAAAAAGGGACACATAGAATGAGAAAATTAAATAATCCTAAATGATAATAAACCCAAGTGCAAATTAATCGACACTAAAGCTATAATTCATTGCAACTCATTAAAATTAACAATATAATATTTTTTAATTATTGATTAATTGGACAAATCAAATTTTAATTAATGAAACTTCTCTGACCAATGACGAATGAATCCCAAATTTCAGATACCACTGTCGTTGATGGCTAATTAGCTTAACTTAATATTACAATCAATCATTTACTTGGGCTAACTAAATACTAGTTTATAAATTAATATCAAATTAAATATAGCCATCAATAATTAGCATTAAAATCACATTTATATTAAGCAATAATGATTGATTAATCACTCACAATTTATTCCTAGTAATTTTAAATAGTCCAAATTCAATTAAATAATTTAATATTTAATAATAAATTAATACAAAAAAGCTTAAAAAGCATAACTAAATGCTAAATTATTCAATTAAATCTCAATTATACTCTAATTATCTTTAATATTTGCAAATTAACTTGGTTGATGAATCAAATCATCCTATAAAACTAATCCAAATTTCTTCAATTCATCAATCTCATACATCCAAATAAATAATTTGCAGGATTTAATGTTAACTACAAAATTTGAATAAAAGCTGACAAGATTAAATAAATTTAAAATTTACCAAATCTGGATTTACATGATTTACTAAATAGGGGTTTACTAAATCCTATGTAAAGCAAAACATCACCTTAATTCAAATTTACTTGATTAGATCTTGGCTTTAAACTACAATGACTTTGATTAATTTCAGTGGTTTGGGATTGATTTAGACTGAAAACAATCTTAAACCAATTAAAATTTTTAGTTTCTCGAAGTTCCGGTTGTTTAGGGTGCAGATCACGGGCATCGTTGAAATTAGAGAAGAATGTCACGAATTTCACCCAAAAATTAAAGATTTTAATTAAGAATCCAGTGAAAATTTTTATTAGCAGACAAAGTTCAGCTAAAATTCCATTATTATTCCCTCACCAACATTCATTTGTGCTATAAATTGCATCCCAATTAAATAATCACCTTTATATTATATCATAAACATATTTTTGGAATATTCATCAATTAAAGTGACTGGAATCAAACCCAGTTAATCAAGAAAGCAACGAAACTGTGAAGGGAAGAAATGAAGATTTAAAACCTTGCACCGGATGATACAATTTGGAACTAAAACACCAGCAGACATAGAATTTCCATTCTTTGCAAATTCAATTAAAGAAAACCCACTGCAAAGAAATTAGATAGTGAACAATCCATCCATACCAGAACTGCCATGATCAGAAGCCAGTAACAGCAATAGCCGAATGAATATGACTGAAAGAAAACAAGAACCATAATTTCCAATAAGACAAGCAGATGGACCGTAACGAGGGGCACCGTTTGAATTGTTCGACCAAAACAATTTAACTAGCAAGTCCAAACCATATAAAGTAATACTAGAACAGAAATGTTCAATAATCTCTTCCACATCAATTAATTCCAAAATCTCACAAGCTATTATAATTCCTGCGTGGAGCAAGCCAAGAGTAGCATTACTCACCTTGCTTCTGGTAAACGAAGGTCAGAGAGCACTTGCCACAGTAATGCCGATCGAAGTGGTTCGCCATGAATATTCCCGCTCCACACTCAGCGCTGGGACACTCCTTGCGCAGACGCGACACTTTCCCAGAGTCACCAACTTTGTAAAACTGCAGTACGGCAAGCTTAACCTTCTTCTTCTTGTGCTTGATCTTCTTGGGCTTGGTGTATGTCTTCTTCTTGCGCTTTTTAGCGCCCCCGCGGAGACGGAGAACGAGGTGAAGCGTCGATTCCTTCTGAATATTGTAATCGGCGAGGGTACGGCCGTCCTCAAGCTGCTTCCCAGCAAAGATTAAGCGCTGCTGATCTGGTGGAATGCCCTCCTTGTCCTGAATCTTCGCTTTAACGTTGTCGATCGTGTCCGAGGACTCCACCTCGAGGGTGATTGTCTTCCCCGTTAGGGTTTTGACGAAGATTTGCATCTTTCAGGCGTAGGTCTAGAATTAGCCGGCGTCCGGCGATTGCTCTACGGTCGGTTTCAAGCTTCTAGCTGGTAGCGGCTAGGGTTTCCAACCGGTGTGCATATAGGGCTAAAGGGTAGGGTTTATATAACCGTAATATCTACAACAAAAAAGCATTGTTTCTTCAAATTTTATGTTGCAATAATTTTTGGAGCGCTTACATGCATGCCAGCCAATTCAGATATATGTAAATATGTAGCACCTACACTTTAATTTTTATATTTATATCAATCTTTTATATCACATAAAAAATATCACTATTTTAATGACACCAGAGGGAGATGCTCCTATCACGGGACAAAAATCCTAAGGGATGTGCGATCGAGGATCTTCTAGTTCAAACAAAGCATGGGCTGAGTGGTAATTTGAGAGCTTGGGGTTTTTGTTCATTGGATGGAAATCACTTCTTTTCAACCTGTTATATATTTGAAAAGGAAATCAATATTTGGCAGAAGCCCAAATATCGATTTTACATGCGCTAGGTAGGCCCCATGATGAGAGTCTGCGTCATGTGCCTAAATATTTTTTGTCGCCACCCATGATGAGAGTCTGCATCATGTGCCTAAATATTTTTTGTCGCCATTGAAAAGCAGTCCCTTTACTTTTTTTTCTCGCAACCATTACTTCCTTGCCTCCTCCTTTCCCTTCTATTTACCTTCCCACCCTCAACGTCCTCCACTTAAGAGTCTTGTTTATGGTTTTGTGATTACTAGTGAAATGGGTACATCCAAAGGATATGGTTATCTCATGTAGGAACTTCTCAATGCTTCAAAGCCTATGCCAAGTTGTGAGGGAAAAGAGTAAATCACTCACATCCCAGACGAGCAGCGGCTAATCAGCAAACATAGCTTGTGAGATAATTGAGTCATCAAGTAGGATCATCTTACCGCTTTGAGGCCATAATGGGCCATAAGGGTAAAGAGTGAATCATCATATCTCAAAAGAGCATTGGCTGGTCATTAAATGGGGCCACTAGATGACATCGAAGAAGAATCAAAGTATGATTGGGTGCAAAGAGGTTTACCCATAAAAGGTAAGAAGTCCTAAAAGAGTATAGATAGCTCGGTCGGGACTCCATGGATTTGTCCTCCCAAGCTATTAAGACCCTAATTATATCTGGTCGTGAAGAAAGTCAACCGAACCTAACATGAGATTCCATGTCAGCAATCCATGTGTCACATCGTCCAGGGGAATCTCGGTAGCTCTAAGGTCAAAGGAAAAAAAACCTTTAAAGCCCTATGCCACTATAAAGGTGAATTCACATGAATGGGACTTACACACACTAATCAAGCAACAAAAATGCCTCTAGAAAGAAGAGAGAAGAGGGGTCCAACTAGAAAGCCAAACCCACCACACAAAGGGCTTACACCTCGCATGGGTCAGGGAGCCTCTAACATCTTAGGTGTGCTAGACATCCATCTAAGTAAAAAGTAGTTAATGTTTGGTCAGTCGGTTGGAGAGGCACGAGCACCTCTTCTCGAGACATGCAAAAAGGATGCAATTGACAAAAGTGGTCTTTGAATGTAAAGGCCCTATTAATATGATTGGGTTTAAGCCCATGCATGCGGATTCGTTTTAATATTGCCTCGAAAGCCATGCAAAAAGATAAGTTTTGATTTTGAAAATAACTTCCATTTTAATCCTAAAATTTGATAAATCATAATCTTCTTTTATTAGGATTTTTGTAGAATAATATATTTTAAGTCCTAAAGAGCCTATATTACATATGTGCAAAGCACCTCTGACAAACCACAATCAAATAAAATAAAATTTACAGCACACTGCATAAAATAAAGAAAGCCACATGAATAGATAAATAGACAGGTCAAATGTCGCTGAGTCTACAACATATCCCAAAAAGCAAGAAAAGCGGTCAGGTTCCGCATATACATACTTGGTCATAATTCTATTCAATAACATAGATTCACAATTAAGGTACGAAATACTGGTATATGTTCATGGTCCTTGTCATGTGGTTCCATACATCATGTTCTTTAAAACTCGTGCCCGTATCTTATTTTTGACACATACATAAAAAAGTCTAAAATAAGGATTGAACCTACAACAAAGACGGGTTAGCACATGTTATTTGCATGCAACTCCATGAACGATGTCCAACGAAGGAGAGCTTAGCTGCACCTACAGAAAATGCGTTAACTTAAATTATTACGGCTCTTACCTTTAAGACATTGCTCTCTTCATAGAAATGCTCTAATATGCTAATGTGCAAGCCCTAAACTCGTCAAACACACGAAAGGCGCACATAAAATTTCTGGCTAGGCACAAACCAACAACAATATCTAGACATGTGAAAACCCAAGCTACAATCTGCCCTATTCTAGCAAACATCTAAAATAAGGTTGTCATAGCACATTCTTCTAAGTGTGCGCAGAAGTGTGTGGCTAAAACTAGTGTATGACTTTGTGACGGGACCGTCATCCCAAGTACCATCATGAGGATCCAATAATTCCAATACGTGCCTCTATAATGCGGGCTTTATACACTTAAAAGCCTTTAAAAGATCGACATTACATATGATCTAGAATATAAATGCACCAGTTTTAAAAAAAAGTTTAAAGCATGATGCATAATATTATAAGTTTAAATCCACTATACTATTAAGTCATCATCATCTCAATCCACTAAACATAGTCAAGTCGTGATTCTCATAGAGCCCATGCCGCTATAACATCTAATGCAAACTTATCAACAAACAATCACCTTAAATGTAAGCAATTCTTATACTAATTAACTCATCAATTACACACTCCAAGCCACACCTGCTACTCAACCTTTGCCAAATAAATTCATTGTCATTAGACTGTGCCTGCCAAATTCCAAGCATTACAACCAAAAGCCACTTAGGTCCTTGTCCCACCTTCCCCAAATCAAGTTTTTTTTCAATTGTAAATCAATGTTTAAAATCAAATACAATAAAATGGTTATGTAGCTCGAACTACACCAGCATGGTAGCTCAAACAACATCATGGCTTGGACTAAAAATAATCCTTCAATTTTATTACTAAGATAACATCCATGCATCTATGTCCATCGAACTATTGCTCTAGCTCACAATTCACGTAAATACTTTACCTCAATGTCTACAACCCCTTCCCCTATGGTTATCTCATTAAAATGGTTCACATAACCCAACCATTGAGTTTCACTAAAACTCCAACTATGTTTTACTCCTCAATAAATCTTTTTAAGGGCTCAAACACGCACTCAAATAAAGTTTTGTTACCATCACCAGATGCCAACAGGTATTTAGCTTCCTCCTCAGCTTAATAGACCCCTCCATTTTCTATCTTCATAGAAATACCATTCAATTCTAAATCATAATTTATGTTGACGAAATACTACTAACGGAAAATGATCTCGTACATCTCCCTACAATCCTCAGCCAACCGCAAAAGCAAATCAAAATAAAAAATACTGGCACCATTTCCCATTTCCACAACTTTACTACTCAACAAACTACATATGGCCTCCACCTAAACCTATCATCCTACATTGAAGATATTTTAACTACATCTAACATGACAAACTCCAACATTCTCAAACCAACTTGATATCATATTTGTTATCAATAATGTCCGCCATGCCGTGAATCAGCCCTCAACATGATTTCCGAAAATTCATAAGTCTACTCTGATACATTCAAGGGACTAAGAATCTTTGAAAGGCCATATTCAGACACAAGTTTCAACTCTATATTTATGTTGACTCAAACTAGGCTAGAGATCCAGTCGATCACAAATCTACCTCTGGATATTGCACATTCCTAGGTAACACTCTCTTCTTTTGATTGGTTAAAAAATAACCCAGAGTTGCTCACTCCTCTACAGAAGTAGAGCATCAAGCACTTACAATGCAGAATTCGACATAATTTAGCTATGGTGTCTATTACAGGGCTTACAAACACAAACCTCTTGTCATTCCACTCTACCACGACAACACATCCGCCGCTAACCTCACCAACAGTCCAATCTTCCACAGTAGAACTAAACATACTAAAATATGTTATCACTGCATTGGAGAATGTATCAAGAACAAACATATTACAGTCACATTACAACAAGTGATCAAGTGGTGAATCTCTTTACAAAACCCCTACCTAATGCTCAATTCAAATACATTGGGTCCAAGCTAACACTCTTTATGGAAAATATTATCTTAACAAAGGGGGTTGTTAATAGCTCACAACAAATATTACAATACTAACAGGCCACACTTGCTCCACTTTTAGTACATATTACAATGTGGTCCTCCAAGTATTACAGAATGTATCACAACCACATAGTCTTCCATTTATAAATGTCAGCTCAATCTCTATCAATACAAATGTTCAATGCATTAAGGAACAATTAATGTGACAATGCATACATGATCATTCTATGCACCCTATACATTCTCTCTATCTCTACATAAGTAGAAGTTTAGAATTCTATCGCTTCAAGGGTATGTGAGTATGAAAAGATTTTTCTATCTTTTTTTTTAATGATATGGTAGAAAAGTTTATTCAAATGATAATTTTGCAATTATAAGTAGGGCTATCTATAAAAAATGACTCATTGCTCAATGTTATTGTGTTTGGCTTGATAGATAACGTGAATTAGACTAATTTTTATAAGCAAATATATTTAATGAGTAGCAAAAGAAGATGCTTGCTCAATTATATTAAGCTTCATAGTTGCTTGAATATGTTTATATATAAATAAAAAATATGCATATTATATTCTTGTGTGTTGTCGGCACTATTTTTGGTGTGGAGTTTGTCCGTAAGAAGCTGTCGGTCATCGGAATTGAAATCCCGTTACCCGCTTCGGAAGGAC